GCGCCATCAATCAATTAATTGAGTTCGAAATATTGCAATTAATTGCCCCCACAATCAATTATTCGGTAGGCCTGATTGACGGGTAGAGGTCTAATCCGGTGAATATGTTATTATCGAAAAATGAAAAAGAAATCTAAATTAGCCCGAAGGACAATAAGTGTAAAAAATAAAAATCAAAAATAAATATGAAAATATAGATAAGAACTGGCAAATAGATAGTACCATCAACGGCCGGATAAAAGACCCAGTCATTTACATTCCACCAATGGTAAAACCTATAATAGACCCGGATATAGTATGGTTGAGAGTTTATATCATTAGTAGGAAACTTTTAAAAAAGCATGCATATTTTTCATTTCTAGCAGGTAGCCTAGATATTTAAAAAAAAACTACAGTCAAACCTCCCTAAATGCATAGTCTATAAAAGACCTCTCTAAATGTATGCATGGCCTTATTTGGCCCAACTCATATAATACTTATAGATTTTACCTCCCTAAATGCAAGATTTTTTGGCTGCCCCTTGGCTATGCGTTTAGAGAGATCTGACTGTATATTTTATCATTGTAGATTCCGTAATTTGCATCCAGGTATAGTACGTAGAGGATCTAATATTGTGGAGGATCTTTTATCCGGCCATTTACTGTATATAATCAACCCAAGTTTAGACTTTAACCCGGTTATTATCTATTATGACCGGTTCTAAACTCTCGCTAGGATTTAGGTTAGAGCTTATAATAAATGAGTGAATGGATCTTTAGTAGGGTTCATATTTTTAAATAGGCCACCGATTCCAACTTCAGCAACGACGATAAATAGATCAATAAATTTTTTTCAATAAATTAATTAAATTTATATAGCAAAGTTAAATCTTTCGGCGACTCAAAACAACATTTTTCGCAAATACTAATTCTCGAATCTTTCACAAAAATTTTTATCCTCAGTTCTAGAAATAGCAATCCAATGTATTGTCTTCGTTTCCTTCTACTATTAAATCTGCATTGACCATCATTCTAGGATTAACACTTTCTAAAGCTTCTTTGTATAAATGTTCAGCGTCAATGGTAGCTTCTAGCCGATCAAAATCAATTAATGATATTTTTCTGTAAAAATCCGAATGTTTTTTCATTAACGGAGACGATGTGTTAACAATTCCATTATCGAATTGCGAATTGTCATTAATGGTCGTTGATAATGAGAACTCTTTATTAGACGTTATTTGTTCTTCGAGATAAAGTTTTAGACGTCTAAGTATCTGAAGAATTTCGCCACGAACTAGACGGCTTGGATTATCAGCCTATTTAAAAATATTAAATTGAGTGATCGAATGATACCATTTTATAAAATGAGCGTTACTTACTGCGTTAATGAGAAACTTATCTCCATTAAGCCAATAAAACCATGATAAGTTTTCGCCAATTAAAGAGTTCTCTGCAGACATTTTTTTCTTTTGATTTTGTTCGCAATAATACCATACCGCTGTAAGAAACTGACAACCGCCAATTTGAACATAAAAATCTGGATCGTTCATAATCTTATCCATTACAACTTGGCTAAAGAAAAGAGTAATCACTATCAATATAAGAGCGACAAACAAATAAAAAAAAATTTTAGAATACTAAATGATAAACAAACTTAATATTCTCCATGTTTTGATTTGTTAACAATATATAACCACATTCGCGTTCTATAATCAAGCAAATCATTAATTCCATAACAGCTCGTCGCACGAGAGCTTCGGTATCTTTCATCATTAGGGGAAGTTTAGAAGCAATTTGTATATGCAGATTATGGGAAACAATATACTTCCATCCATTTGAATGGCAAATAATTGACTTGATTGATCCATATATTAATAATTGAGTTATAAAGTTATTCTACGAAGACAAGAATAACTATAGTGATAAATACCTTAATTGCTTTTAAGCATGATGCACGTACATAAGCTGCATCATCATTAATTTTTAAAATAACCATCTGAGGCAAACCAAATCTGAGTGCAAAATCAATATCAACCCCAATATTATTCGACTAGAATAGTCTATGCATTAAAATCAAAAAAAAAAAAAAGTAGATTCGTTGACAAAGTGAAAGAAAATAAATAGTCTAAACTAACCTCTTCAAATAACTTATCAACAAATTCAAGGACCGAATCACGTATTTCCCAACGAAAATCATTTACTTTGAGTAGGAGCGTATCGGCCCATTCATCCCCATATTTATTGTCAAGAATATATTGACCAGTAATATTATCAGTAAGAAGCTTTTGCATTGTTCCAAGTAATATAGCTACACTTTGACATTCTATTTGCGCATCTTTCATCAATTTTTGAATTGTCTCTAATATCTAGTTTAACAAGTAAAGGTGCGAATCAATAAATGGCATTAACGTGTTACAAAAACATGAATTATTATCAAGAAACCTCATTGGTAGTCTGACTTTCTTTAGTTTGACTATTAGCGATTTTGGCAGAAAGGGCAATGGGAATGACACTAAGCACTGACTCCAATATGCGATGATCAGTAATGTAATTGGGAATAAATAAAATGTCACATATCGCGTCGGTTGATGCAGTTATCTATTAAAGATCTTAAGTTAATCAATGAGGTGACTACTTATTTGTTTATAGTTTAAATAGTTACCGAGTTAAATTCAAGAGAAATAGTACTAATCGAATGTAGTATACTTGATAGCAAAGCTTTTTCATTATTAACGTTGCATCTCACGTTTAAGAAAAGTGACCTTAACTTTGATAAAAATATAACAATTTAAATTAAAATAATTGTAAGATAAACAAAATTTCACATACCTTATCATAAGTTCCGTTAGTATATAACGAATTTACATCAGGTTTATCATAAATCGATAATTTATTTATCGATTCTTCTGCAGTCTGTCGCATTTTAAAAAAGCTAAGCAAAAAGACTAATATATCTATTATTCTTGACGCGAGTTTTTCTTGATCAGTGCTCGCGCGTCTGACCAACAAAAACAAAGAATCAAGAACATTAACAGCTACAACAAGTATATCAAAACTTGTATCGTTATGCAGTAGGAAAAAAACGATATCGGTTATGATGAAATCAAATGCTGTGTTAAAAAAAAAAACAAAAAAAAATTATTTGCTGAATGGTAAATTATAAGTAAATTATAATAATTCCTTACTTTCAGTGATTGGATCGTTCGTACAGCTAGCACCTTTTAGCAAAGAAATAGAATTCGGAGCCCATTCAAGAACAGCACACAAAATATCATTTGCTCGAGATCTCATGACTCTATCTCGCTCAGCAAGTAATACACCTATGCGGGTTAGCTTAAATACAATTAATCATAAACATGAGTTAATCATCAATTCTGACAGTGGTGTAATGAACTGTTACAAGCCAACCAGAAAGTTAGCATACTAGTTGTCCACGCTTCAAGAATTCGAATGCATTAGTTGTCTTTGAACTTGCTAAAGTTAAAATAAGTTGTAGGGCCGCTAAGCGCTGTCCGATATCTTTATTAGGGTCAAATAACATTTCTTGCATCTTATTGAAAAGATCGAGAGTTGAAATTAAAAATTCCAAAAGATCATTTTGCGCAGTTGCCTTTGTCGTATCTACGAATATTGTTGAATGGTTGATTATCGATAAAAGTAACCGTGAAGCTGCTGATGCTACCTTTTTTTTTTTTTTAGAAATAATTTAATTAGCGCAAAAAAAAATTTCTGTTTAAACGAAATGAACTTTATTCTTACATAAGTACTAGAGTCAAAAAAGCAAGCGGCAACAACTTGCGCACATTTTGTATTATGGAACCTTGCGAAATTGATATTATATGTTAAACAATATTTGACACGGGTAAGTTATGAACCAAATTTTCATAATGAATTACCATTTGGCACCAAGTTCATATGTAACTATTTGTTCCAAAGCTTCAATACACGAATATCGCATCAAGCCTTCTTCAGAGAATGCGTTGTCCAGAACAAAATTAAGCACATCACTATAACTGTAAATGATTTGACTAAATAAAAGCGCGCGTTGCCTATCGTCATTAGCTAAAAGACGTGCTAGAAAGCGTATGGATAATGATATAATCCTAAAGTCTTTGGTGCCTTCGTGTCCATTTTCGATCTCATTGCACCGATTTTCTTGTATAATACAAGCCTAGTCAAATTCCAAAGATTTTTGGGATCAAGCACAAACCTTCTACATAGTAGTAAAAACAGTGTATAATGTGTATTACGCACACGTATAATTTCCATGACGTTCCAATCCACGAAAGTGGCAACCATAACAGGCCCTTGAGATGCATACTCTGAAAGATAGGAAAGAACTTTTTCATGAATTGTGTCGTCCACGATGTCTTTGGACATTTGAGGTAAAGAATTTAAAACTACGTGTAGCTTTTCCATTTCATAAAGTTCCTAAATTGTGTTGTAAAACTGATAGTCACATAAATCAAAATAGGAAGATAACTTATAAATCCGGATAATCATCGATTGCATACGCATACACGGGATATGGATTTGATGGATTTGGACAATAAAATTTATTACTTTCTAAATAAAAATATTTAAATTTATAATTATAGATTTCTTAAATTAACTTTTTGAAGCTTGAATATGCTGTGGATATTCTTGGACATGTGGACGTTTGGACATTGGACATGATTCTTGGCATAATAGACGTACGTATACGCGGCCAACCAATTTTTTTGGCCTTTGGCCGGCCAAAATAGGCAACGGCCAATGGCCAGAATCCAAACTTCGGCCAAAAGTTTCTAACTTATATAACATTAACCAATCATATTGCTAGCTTTTCTATATGAATATAATTTTTTTTGCCCGATTCGGCCAATGGCAGCGACTGTCCAATGTGTACGAAATCAATTAGTGGAAATTTTCATGCAACATTCATAATAAAATACTGCGCAACAGCATAATATCGCTTTTTAAAATTCTCATTTGTCGGGTGAGAAATAATATTAATTCGAATGTGAAACTATTAACTTTTTGTAATTTAAAGAAATGTTTATTTATTTCTAAACACAAATTCATTTACAATGTCTTTCGCTCTTTATTTATGGTTTTGAAGTGTTCCAGTATTTACAACAAACAAGTGATTTCTTAACTGTTGGGCTTCCAGATCGTTGACCATAAAGCTGTTGTTGACCGTAAGGCTGTTGTTGACCATAAGGCTTTTGTTTGATATTCTAGATCGAAAAACTAAGCTCAAATGTGTCAGAAGTTTCACGAACAAGGAGAAAGAAAAGGTAATTATAAATAAAAATCGTTTAAATAGTTAAATAAAGAAGCGACGCACGGGTTGTTACGTCAGACCCGTATGATAACTATAATATATTTTAGTAGTGTCAATGAAAATTTAAAACAGCTTCTCCATTTTATATAGATATTTGATCAGTTTGAATTAAAAAGTTTGTTCAAAAAAACCGAGCACTAGATGCTCACTGCACTGCATTCTGTCCAACGCGAACCTTGTTAAAGTGAATAAAACGATTTGAATTATATGGTTTAAATAAAATTGACATGAGCCATTGTAAATACAATGATCTTTATAATTAATATAATTAATCATTGTATTTATTCTCTAGAGTGTTTAGGCTTATACGATTTCAAGAATTTTTGATTGTTTAAACAATGAAAAATCCTTAAATCGCATAAGTCGGAATATTTTATTATCTCTAAAGAATCAAATACTATAGTTTAAAAGTATCTAATTTTAAAGTAAAATTCAAATATACAGTATATACTTTTCAATCCAATAAAATATTTTTATTATTTAAAACATTACGCCAGTATTACATAACAAATGTAATCTATATAAACCTTTTCTAACCTCTTATTCTAACGCTAACCCTAGCATTAAACTAAAACTTAACTCTAATGCTATTGCGTAATGAACGATTTAAAGAACCGATACACAACGATCCCATTTTCAACAAAGAGACTATTCGTTTTTAGTCAAAAGCCAACGAAGGACACGATCCAGCATAGTATAATCGACGATTGTGACCCTAAATCCGATCAACACATCCAAAATCGTATCTGAAACATGCATAACTTTGCCTCTAAACTCGAACAATTGGTTAGCATTGTAAGATGTATAAAGGCAAAAGAATTAACAATAAAATAAATATACTTATCTTTTACAGCTACTAAAACATTTAGTAGATCCGAATTTACTATCGAAAAAAAACTAAAATTCGTGATAAAATCCACAATATCAAAAAATAATTAAATTAACAAAACAACGAATATTACAAACTATGTCGATTTCAGTAAAGGACGATTCGACAAATCTATGCAACAAACGACAACAGCCAAAAAACAAATATTTCGCTATAAAAAAAACTAGTTAGTAAAGAAAGAAAAAAAAAACACATACAAATAAGCAAAACTAATCAGTATAACCAAGAATTTCTTCTTGTTAATCGTAGTTATTCTTTGTTTATCGACAACATGCTGAATAATAATATGATGCAAGTTAGTCATTGAACAGTCGTTCAATGTCCAGGCCACACCACGAGGAGGTTTGCATTTGTGGCCCAAAAGGAGTTTAAATTGGGAATAGTAATAAAAAAAATTCTAAATTTATAAAAAAAAGGATTAAGGAATAAATGATTTTAAAAATATGTATTCGATTATTTTTTTAGTTCATTTATCTCAAAATGATAAAATACGATATCAATAATGTACCAGTTATCGATAAAGTGATTCCGTTTTTATGGCCTCTGAACGAATCAATAGTAAACAAAGAGAGTTAT